TTTTATGGAAGAGTCGAACGCCACCCAGAGAACTTGAGTGGCAAGTCAAGGTCAGTGCCAGGGTTCAAGGTTAGGTCTCCTCCCACCAGATTTCCAACCAGCAAAGTGAAAATAGGTTCGCTAGCATACGAGTTGTATAGGGAACAGACCCATCTGGGTGTTTTCTGTGGAGAGGAATTAATTGCTTGCCATGTTTTTTATTCTTGGAGTCAGAGATGCAAAATATAGACTAAACCAACATACCAGCAGGACAGTCCATTGCAGGCAGCAGGCTGTCCATGGGTTAGTCTGGTGGGACAGGAGAAATCACCTATTTCTGCCTCTCCGAGAGGGAGTCATGGGGAGACGGTTCTCTCCCCTCTTCAGCCCCAGAGAGTTTTCCTGACCATTGACCACTGCTGGGAGTTGACTATTAACACGAAACCTTCCTATAAATTGCCATTTAGTCCTAAGACTCAAAGGTACAAGGCAGACATGGCAGCCCTTTGTCGTGAGCTACCCTGGGGCAGGGGGAGGGTGACACGGCTACAGAGCTCTCACACAGATCCCGAGACCCTGCTGCGCATGCCTGGTTCACTTGCCAGGGGCTTCTTGGAGAAGGCTGAGGTGGACGGGAGTTCTGAATGTTTGAATGCTGGCTTCTAGGAGTTATTCTTCCAGAAGAAAGCTTAGTCTTACCCTAATTGCTTCCCTGGAGAGCCCTGGGGTAAGCTTCATGATTCATCTGGTACAACCCTGGAAACTCCAGGAGTTACAGAAAGTGGCTGTAGCCAGATGGCTTTCTTTCCCCAAGCGTCTTTATCACGTGTGACCGCAGGTGAGAAAATAGTACTTCTCATCCACTGAGGAAGGCATCAGTGTAAGAGGAAGCTCTCTACTTTGTCACGCACCCTTTCTCCCTCCCCCTTCACTCACAGCTACTATCGACAGAGGGGAGCAAACACATACGTAACCCTTGCTCTGTGTTAACTCATTTAGTTCTCTAAACCCCACAAGTAGCTTTTATGATTACCCTCAAGTTACAGAAGAGGAAACGGAGATCTAGGGGTTATGGAACTTGCCCAGGGTCAATTGACTTGTAAGTGGTAGAGCCAGGACTTGATCCTGGGCAGTCTGGCCCCAGAGTCTGGGTTTTAATTCACCACCGGATGCCCTGCATGTCTGGCACTGGTGCCCCCATGCATTGGGCTCCAGAATCTGGGAAGCCAATTACAATCTATAGTTTTGTTTGGTACACAGAGTGAATTAATAGTAAATTAACAGATTTTGGGGGGGGGGCTAAGAGGAATTTTTAAGATGTAAGGGAAGTTGAATGCCACTTCATAGCTCCATGGGCAGCTCACTGCTGTCATTCAGAGGACATCAACACACCGAGATTGTGATCAGTGTGGCACTGTGGGTCTGTCCCATCATAAAAAAAGCATGAAGGATGCTGACTCTAGTTGTCAGCCTGAAACACGGTCCCAAAGTCAAGGGAACCAGTTCTAATTTTGATGCCCTCTAATTTTCAAGTCTATCAGCCGGACTTGACCTGTCTTCAACATTTGGGACATAAGACTATATATAATCACTTGTCTGCTTCCAAAGTGGTTGTGTTTACTAGAAGGAACTGGCTCGACTTGCAGTCACAGAGATGTTTATAAATCAATCCAAATGCCTTTAAATACAGCAGTCACAATAAATGTTGATGAGTATAAATAAGTAATGTTTAAGAGTACTTTCAGGGGGCGTGTAGGTTGGATTCTGCTGGCATTAGGGAAAAGGCGTGGGATTAATTAGGGAGGTTATTGGAGCAAGTTGCAAGGATTAAAAGGAGAGGAAGGCACGGCGCAGCTCCCATTTGAGTGAAGGAGAGCATGGCATGCCTGTGGCATGGCGTGATGAATGAGCACCAGAGAAATTGAAGCCATCACCGATGATTTGAGCAAGGCATTTAACCTCCCTGGGTCTCTGTTCTTCCATCTGTCAGGATGGAAAATTGGGTATTGAAATCAAGACTACATAGTGAAGCACTTGGAGTTCGTCAGAAGAAAAGCATCACTATCACACAGCCTTTGGGTTAAGAAAAATCAATTATTTAGAAGAAATGCCCATGGCCTATGACACCTGATTTGCCCCGAGAGCCAGTAACTTGGATCCGTCTTTTGGGAAGGAAGCAATCGAAAGCATCCATGTAGAAAAAAATGGTAGAATCTTGCAAGGATCCTACAGCCCAAGACCTAAGCCAGGGCTGTATAGGCCCAGACCCAAATCTCAAACGACTGCCCGTTCCTTGCTCTTCTGGTTGGCGTCAGTCAATCTCAAGTAGAATCAGATGTTGCCTCACCAGTGTCACTGATACGTTTCTCAGAGAGCCGTGTTTACGCCTTGGGTTTTGTTTGCGTGATGTTCTATGTTGTATAACTTCAGTCTCCAGGAATTTCTCCCACGGCTGAGCATCATTCGTTATCACCCCTAACCGAATATGGCAGCTTTAAATAGTGCTGTCATTTTCCTCCATTTCACTTGTTGTGATATAATCAGGTATAGATTTCTGACACTGAGCATCTAATGGGCTTTCAGATTTAGAAAGCAACAGTAAAAATTTTGTTTTCTTCCTGGGTGTCCCTCTGTGGAGAGACACAGCGTTAAACAGCCGTGAGTGGCAGGGCACACAGAATTCACATGCGTGCACCTGGGGGAGCTCTGGGGTCAGGAAGAACTCCAGGGGTGGACGGAGCTAATGATTTCTGCTGCATGAGGGGTATAGTGTGACTGGCTCCTCTCCCGGCTGTGGGCTCTAGCTGTGCACTCTGCCCTCTCTGTGTCTTCCTGTGTGTGCCATTGACTTTGGAGATGGGGAAGGAGACATGGTCATCCCGTGATGGACATGGGGAGGACTGATGGTGGACTTAGATTCTGCTGCTCTGAATTCTTTGCCGCCTCTTAGAGGATTTAGCTGACAATAGGACCAGACCTGCTCAAATGGTCTTCTGCCCATTCTTCCCCTGTTCCCCTCCCTAAGTTACTGGGCTTTGGTCTTCAAATTGTTTCATTTCCCCAGTAATACCTGAGTATTCTGTGCAGAGAAAGCATGGATGCGCCATGCATCAAAGACTTGCAGTTAGTATCGAAGGGCAGTTCCATGTTCTAAGCCAGTGGTTCTCAACCTTTCTAATGCCGTGATGTATTTTCATTGTTACAAAGGGGTCACGACCCCCAGGTTGAGAACTGCTGTTCTAAGCCATGCTGTAAAAGAAAACCAGCTTACACCTCCCCAGAGGTCATTGCCACATGCTGAAAGGTCACAGAGCCCAAGAATGGCTGCCACTCTGGCCGAGCTATTGACATCTACTCTGTGCACCCACTGGGCTGGTGCTCCAAAGAGGAAAGTCAGACTGTACCCAGGTGGTTCAGCAGTGTGCCTGCCGGCTCCCCAGGAGGGAATGGAAAAGCACCCAGAAGAGAAGCCGAAAACCACCGGTGATCGAGGCTGTGCAAATAAAATAGGACCGGGCAGAATGCCTCCCTCCCACCTGCCTCCAATGCAGCCGTGGGAACAGCTGTTGTTACTCAGAATTTCTCAGCTTCTTCTAGCTTCTTATGGATAATGAAAGCTCAGAAATCTGGTTGAGTTTAGCTCAGCATTGGCATAGGTAGTTCCCTTTTGTGTTTCTGGGAACCACAGTGTAAAAATGACAGACTGATAGTAGGTTGTTCTATGACAGATACAGCCTTGAGTTTGAAAGCGTACCCGTCATAGCACCCCTGAGCTTCATACTGACTTTCAGTCCTATCTATGGACTTTCTAGGTTCCTGGGATCATAAAAGCATAGAATTTTCCATGTAGAGTGGTCTGGCAGGAGCATCTTGTCCAGGGCCTTCATAGTAAATGAGAGAAATAAGCCTGGCACAGCAAAAGCAGGAGCAAGCAGAAGTGCGGCCACCACTCAGCTGCAGCCCAATGGGAGCTTGGACCCAGTGTGGCCAGATCACCCCATTAAAAAAAAAGCCAGAAATCCAGGTTTATATGTGAAATCTGCTCCTAATCATTTCATGCTTGCAGCTAATACAAAATGGGTAAACAATGCTGGGTGGACAAAGCAAGTCTGCAAGCTGTCGGTGGTCTGCAGCCTGCAGGTTCGTCACCTCTGATGCAGTCCAGCTCCAACTGAGACCAGAGAGGTTGAGGACTTGCCTAAGATCACACAGCTAAAGACAGGGAACACATGACTTAACTCCATCTTTCTCATTCCATTTTGTTTTCCTGTGGAAAATGCAAGGACCTTGGTATCCACATTTCCTTTCTGGCTTCATCCTTTGGCTCACATGACTCTGGTTGAACACATCGCTGGGCCTGGGGCAATTGTGTTTTCCCGTGGCACAGTGGCATGAGCCTTGGGCTTTGAGTCTGAAAAGATGGGTTTGGGTCCCAGCCTGTCCACTTACAAACTGTGTAAGCTTGGGCACATCCATGGACTGCCCTTTTCCTTCTTCACTATTAAAATGAAAACACTAATCTGGGCCTTCGTAAACCGTTTTGAGGTTTACATGGAAAGGTCTTATTGTGTGCGAGATCACTCCAGAAACAAACAAACAAAAAAAGATGCCTGTTGCATTAGCACCCTTGTGGGAAAGATGTGAGTGTCAGAGAGGGAACCCCAGTACTGCAGGCATCAGCAGCTCAAAGGTACTTTCTGGGCCATCCCCAGAGGACAGCAGGTGGCACATCAGGGGCATTGAGGGCTGTTCCACGTTTCCAGCACAAAGCCTCCCTCATCCTAGGAAGTGAGGTGGCCGCGCTGCTGTCCTGTTTCACCTCCTGAGATCAGGGCTGGGTAGGTGTTCTGGAGCAGCCCCTGCTACACCTTCATCCCCAGCATCATTTAAACCAGTCTCCCAGATCCCAAAGAAATGCAGTCTGGGGCCAGAACCACGCTCACCACACCCTCTGCCCCACCTTGACCAAGTGCTGTTTTGAATGAATGTGTAGTAAATCTTGTTTTTATCTCCATTTCCAGGGACGCAAACCCGGATATTTCTCCTTCCTGGACCCATTTTCTCCTGGCGTCTGGCTCTTCATGCTTCTAGCCTATCTGGCTGTCAGCTGTGTCCTCTTCCTTGTGGCTCGGTACTCTCCTCTCCCCTTCCCTGTCCTCACACCGCCACCTTGTGCTCACCTCGGGGAACTGCATGGGGAGGGGTGGGGAGGAGGAGAGAGGCAGGTTGAGAAGACCTTGGTGCCAAACCAGCAGGATGGGAGCAGGACTAGGGACCTGAAATGCTTTCTGCACAGCTGTGGACTTCATGCTATCCACCCAAACATTCCCCACTGTGCACAACATGATGCAGACAGGTGGGCTTGTCTGGTTGACCTCTTGCATCCCTGCATCTTGCCTCCTCCCACTTCCCCCCTTCATACCCTCTGCTTATGTAGGAGCCTTGGGAAAGAGAAGAGGGTGGCAGGAAGATCTCCCTGATTCAGCACTGTGCATTTGGCGGCCCTGGCTTCTGTCTTTGCCAGGATCTGCCACAAAGTGCTGAATGACAAGAAACAGTCTGTGATTCCGAAGTTAGGGGGACTGGAGGCCAGGGTGGCACAGGCCTGGGTACAGTCCTCCTCCGCAGAAGCCAGATCTGCCTCTGAAAATAACTGCCTTGTCAAACAGGAACTAGGAGGGTGGCAGGGGGCATAGGGCAGGATGGAAGGAGGCATTTGTGAAGAGTATTGAGACAAATGGGCCACATCAAAGGAGAGGGGAACCAGCTGGCCTCTGTCCCCAGCAAACCAGGGATTGCCCCGACCCTGTGGGAAACCTGAGGAGCAGCCTGAGACTGTGGCCTCCTCAAAATGTGTGCAGGGAAGATTGTTTCTCTCTGAGCCTATGGGCTGCTGGACCAGCCGGGGCTTCAGGAGACCCAGCCTGCTCTCCAGAAGTGGGGCAAGCACTGGCAGGTCCTGGACCACTCGCTTAAGTCCCTCCCAGCCCTATGCTCTCTGCAGTGAAGGACCAAATAAGGCTGTCATGTGGGTGCAGCAGCTGCCCAGGATGGGCTTCTGGACCTGCCAGTGGCTGTCTTAGCAGGTGTCTCTTCAGTTGTCCATCTTTGCCTCCGGGCCGCAGATGGAGGGAGCAGATAATGGGAGCAGATAATTTTGTAGTGTATGTTCCATCTCTGCAGTGTGAGGTCTTCCCCACTAGTTTGTCTATTCAGTGAGTCCAGGGGACATGGGTTCTGCCCACTCAGGAGGTGGAAGCAGAGTCCACAGGGCAATCCCCGGGGCAGGCCTATGAAGGCCTATATGACCCAGTCTGTGCCTTTTCTGGTGGAGGAAAAGCCAAGATCAGGAGAGTCACCAGGGGCCCACAAGATGCAGCCAAGCAGAGAAAAACCCTGCTTACAACCTGGCAGTCTTCACAGGCCCCTGGGTTTGCTGCCCGGCACCCTCTACCCCCATGGGGCCTGTAGGCATTGCCGCTGTTAAGGAGCTGTTGTCAGTGAGGGCTGTGAGACGCGGGAGCTCGCACGCTGTCTGACACGTCCCCTCTCCACATTGCCACGCGGCTGCTGCTGCTGCTGCTGCTGCTGCTCCACGCTGCCAAGCTGTGCGTGTGAGCCCTGGATCCACTGCTCTGTCAGTCGCACTTATCCCCACGGCTCTCAGGTCACCTCCTGGGCCCTGGAAATGATCTTGGGGCTTGGTTATCAGGCACACACACACACATCTGCATCACCTTGCCTGTGGCAGCCTGGAGCATTTTAGCCAGCCCTGAGTTGTCTTTCCCCTGCCCACCCCCCACAGCCCCTAGCATTTAGCACTAACAAAAATATTAACCAAAAACTGTACTAAAAGGATAATCACACAGCATACGAACGAGGTATCTGAGCCAGGGTATTCTGTCCTTAGATAGTGGTTTTCAGACAGGGTTCAGTGGGGTGTGAAAGCTCTCAGGAGCTACCGGGGACTTTGGGAGTGGACTGGGGAGAGGACTAGTAGCCAGAGCCTTTTCATCCAGACCACTTTTTAAAAATCTTTTATGCACTGTACTTCTGGGTAAGATTTTAGAGGGGAAAAATGCTTGAAAACTGCAGTTCTCAGGCAGCCATTCCTGAGCCAGGGGATTGTCAGTCATATTTAGGGAGCTCTGAAACATTTGAATCCCCACGTCCCAATGTCCCAGAGTCTCTCTGGGGCTGGGGCCTGGGAATCTGTGTCTTAGAAGGGTACGTGGTCCTTCCAGCAGTTTGTGTGCTTGAGAGCCACCAAGGTGAGACTCCACGAGTGCCAGCACAGAAGGATGGAGCACACCCCGCAGGACACTGGCTGTGCGGGCGCATCTGTGTTCTATTCAGCTGTGGGAGGCACTGATGGAAATAGGAGTGAGGGGCTGTAAGAGTGCCAAGTGCACCTGGGGCTGCAGGAAGGGACGGGTAAGACCCTGGAGCACACAGCACCTCGCCCTGCTGTGGGTGCGTGCCTGGACATGCACCTCCTCTCGTCAAGGCTGGCAGGCTTTGCATGGGACACAGGCAGGGCTGTCAACATGTCCCTGGCAGGCAGGGGGAGGAAGGGTGTACTGGGCACCCCAGACACTGTGGTCCTGCTCAGAAAGAGGGCAGTGCTGAGGCTGAGAGGGACTTGGGTAGGGAGATAAGTGTTCCCTGCCTCCCCCAGAGGCAGACAGTCCTGCTTAGCCCTGCATGCCCCTCACACTTGCCTGGGGGGCCATAAGCAACAACTCATGCCCAGGCCCCACTGGACAAATTAAATCACAATTTCTGCTGGTGGAATACAAGCACTTGTATTTTGTAAAAGCTCCCAGGGGAATCTGAAATGCAGGTAGGGTGAGAACTCAGCCTTAGAGACTGTCCAGGCCAGTGGTTCTCAGTGTGAACACTGGACCAGTGGCATTGACATTACCTGGGAACTTGCAGATTCTTAGGCCTCACCCAGGACTTGCTAATTTAGAAACTTCCACAGTGGGGTTCAGCAATCTGTTTTAACAAGCCTTGGTGGTTCTGAGTCAGGGTCAAGTTTAAGAGCAACTCCTCTGGGCTAAGGGTTTTCAGACTGCAGTTCTGTGGGACTCGAGGGTCTCTCTCTGATCGCCCTGTGGTAGAATAAGCAGCTTCCCAGATGTCCACCCTTCCAGTCCATTCCAGGAGCTCCATTTTCACACACCAGAATTTATCTGGGGAAAACCTAGCCCAACTGCTTCATTTTTGGTTGTAAATATCCAAGTTCAACAAAGGGACAGAGCTTGCTCAAGGCCAGTCAGTGAGATGCAGAGGGGAGGCTAGGAAGGCCAGCCCTGTCCACCTCCCTGGCAGCCCCTTCCCTTCACACCCTCCTCCCCTGCACTGGTGCACGTTTCTTCTCTCCCACAGGTTGACACCCTACGAGTGGTACAGCCCACACCCGTGTGCACAGGGCCGGTGCAACCTCCTGGTGAACCAGTACTCCCTGGGCAACAGCCTGTGGTTTCCTGTCGGGGGCTTCATGCAGCAGGGCTCCACCATCGCCCCTCGTGCCCTGTCCACACGCTGTGTCAGTGGCGTCTGGTAAGGCCCCAGGCAGAGGCAGGCCAGTGTGAAGTGGTGGTAGAACTAGGTTAAATGGGGCAGGGACGCTAAGGGGACCCTCTAAATAAGCCCTGCTCCAGCTGCGGCAGGCAGGAGCCCTAGCAGGCGGTGGGAAGGCCCCTGCCTTTCACAATAGACCTCAGGGAGCTGAAGCTTAGGAGGCCCGGGCAGTGGATGAGACCCACTCTGTGCCCTCCTCTCCCCTTCCCCTCCTCTGCCTCTGGGTCTGGGAGCCAAGGGAGGAAGGGAGAAGGATGAGAAAACAGCCTCAATGACCTTCTGCAAAGCAAGGAAAACTTTCTGACCTGACAATGACCTAGCTTTGGGAAGGCATATGCAGATTTATGCAAATAGCAGTCTGCTAGCAGGAAGTCCCTGCAGGAGGAAGCCAAGTCCGGCTGCCACATCCCACCACTCCACCAGCTTTCTCAGGCTTTGTCCCTCTGCACCTGTCTCTGGGGCCTCTTGGCCTGTCTACCTCAGCAGGTGTGGAGATTGCAGGCTCCTAGTGGCTCAGAGCTGAGGAAATGATTCAATGTGTATGAAAGCTCTTTGAAAATCTGAAAGTGCTACATAAATGTGGACACTATTTGGTCTGAGTGTTATTAGACTAATATGGGGGCAAATGAAAAAATTATATAGATATATATATACATATCCTAGAGAGGCAAATTGGCAGAGCACAGATTTTTGATCCGCTCTTAAAAATCCCACCGTAAGTTTGGCTGTCACAGAGTGCATACCGGATTTATAACCTTGGTCCTCGCCCCACTTTTGCCACCTGTTTAGTCAGAGTAAAAAGCAGAATGGTGTTTCCACCATTGGGCACTGGTGTGCTGGGGTAGGGGAGTGGTCTGGGCAGGGTTACTGGAAGAACCACTAGAGCTTGGGCTGTCAGGGAGGTGAAAACATTGCTGGGACAGTGCGTCCTTCCCATCTGGGGTTTTCATTTTCCCTGATAAGCAATTAGTGGGATTTAAACTGGGCGAGAGGCGCACTTGTTACCAGGTAGTGCAGAACAGTCGTCGCTGAGCAGAGCAACATGGAGAACCAGGGCTCGTGTCCCCAGGAAGGAAGAAGCATTACAGCAGGGACAGTGATGAACCTACTTCAAAATCCAGGGAATCTGGGCATCTGAGCAGGAGCCCTGGGAAGGAGCAGACATCAGCTGAGGGCTTTTCCTTCCAGAGGGTGCTTGTTCCTACTGGAGCACATAGGGCTCCATTACCAGCTTCCCCCCAACCCCTGAAAATCCTTCCTCCACAATCCAGCCTTCCTGCCTCCTGCCCTGCCCTTCGTAAAAAGACTGGGTGCTGCTTTACTGAATGGCCCCAGGTGGCTGGCTACCTTCAGAGCATGTGTGGGAAGGGGGCCAACCACCATAAGAAAACACCATGACCTCTACCGCCCCTACCCCCATGTCCTTAGAGCCCCTCTGCCTCACTGAGTTTTCAGCTATTAAATCAGTCAGTTCCCTGGAGGAATGAGAGGTCAATACATGGGGCCATAGTGGCCTACCTTGGCCTCCTTGCCCAGAACAAGTGCTAGAAAATGCCCTGTCGCTCACAAGAATGCCAGCTTTACAACTGAGAATGACAGTTTGATGCAGGAGCAAGGCTCACTGACCTCTCCAGTGGGGGCAGCCTTCTCAGCAGAAGTGAGGGGACTTTGTACTGAGCCATTGTGCTCTCTGATCCGTTCCCTTACAAGCCACACAGGGTGGAGCAGATGCCAGAGGGCAGCCATGGGGTTGAAGGAACCTCCACAGCCGACTCTGAAGTCAAGTCCACACCCAGGGCTCATGAACCCACCCCCTAAGCAATGCAGCTAAGCAGCTATAGGATGCTGGCTTCCTCCTGGAGGTGGCCTGCCTGGGCCACTTCCCAGGACCGGCCACCCAGGAACCACCTTCTAATAGCTGGGGAAGCTCAGGCAGGAGCAAGGGAGGCAGGTCTTGAGCATGGAGGGACGCCTGCACTGACAGGTCACAGATGGGGAAGGCAGAAAGGAGGCGGCCGACTGACTTCATCCCATATTCAGTCCGATGGTCTCTCTGTACATTTCTCTCTCTCCCATTCATCCAGCCCTTTACAGAATACTGATCACTAATGACATATGACTTCATTGGATCTCACAACTCTCCAAAGACAACCAGAGCAGGCATTATTATCCTCATATATTTATTAGACAAGTAAGTGAGCTCAGATCTAGCTAGTGGCTTTCCCCACAGGCTCACAGGTGACAGAGCCAGAAATAAAAAACAGTTCACGTCCCTGGTGGTCAGTGAACCCCCTCCTTTGCTTCACTCCTGGTGGGGCAGCTGGCAGGAGTTCTTGGCCGTGGTGGCAAAAGGGGCAACGGGACTTCCTATTCTTGAAAATCCACCTGGCAGCTGCCAGCTGCTGAGGGCTGTGTGCAGACGATGCTAGTTGGCAACGTCTTTGTGATGGGGAAAACCTCATGAATTCAGACTCCACTGGTTCAGAATTTGCGATTCTGCAACCTCAACTATGCTTAGATCCATCTCTGAACCCCTTGGATTGGGAAGCAGATCCATACTGTTGACCAGATGGGAGAAGGCTTGTTTAACCTACTAATGTGAGCTCGCTGTGTTTAATGCCTTCAGCATCTATGCTGCCTGTATTGCCAAGTTATTCTAATTTTAAATGAGTTCTATCGACTCGATACAACCGTCTTCTAGTCTAAAATACCATGGCTACTGTGAAAGTATTTTCTAATTCCAGCATTTCAGCAGCTCGAAGACGTTTTTCCAGTTAGTCTTCATTAAAGATTTTCTGCTGTTACAATGTATAGAACTGGTGGTGAAATATGAATTTATCAGCGTGTTCCTTAGCAAGTTACTTCACTTCTCTAAGGCTTAATTTCCTCACCGATATAATCGGGAGAAGAATTTGCCTCCTGAGTTGTAGGGATTCCGTGAGATAGTGGATGCGGCTCATGGTAGGTGCTCGGCTCACAGCTGTGCGCATCTGAAGGCTGGCTTCCGCGTGTCGCAGGGAAGCCATCCCAGCTTCAGCTCTGCACGGAGCCATCAGAGCTGGCACCCGTAGCTCATTCACTAGTTCATTTCTCATAGTCTCATATGCATGAGATGTACCTCTTTTGAATAACAACCCAATAATCACTTCTTTTAGGAAATAAAAAAAAATTCAACTACTTCCAGGCAATGCTCACAAACTTAATCCATCTCCGTTGACATCATATGCCCTGCCTCCTTTCTCTGCCCCCACTAAGTTGCAAGCTCCTTGACAAGGGAGACACCTGGTCTTCCCTGTGTCACGGCAGGCGTAGGGATGGGAGTCGAGACTCCTGGGAGTGCCGGGGCAGTGACGGCTTCCTGGTGTTTCCCCGCATAGGTGGGCTTTCACGCTGATCATCATCTCATCCTACACGGCCAACCTGGCAGCATTCCTGACTGTGCAGCGCATGGATGTGCCCATTGAGTCAGTGGATGACCTGGCTGACCAGACCGCCATCGAGTATGGCACAATCCACGGAGGCTCCAGCATGACCTTCTTCCAAGTAAACCCCATTTGGTTGCTCACCATCATCGGGAATTGGGCAGAATAAATTTGAGATGTTTTTCCACTGGAGATAAAAACATCTTTCCTCATCTCATTATCTCTTTGTGAACATCCAGTTTGGAGGTTTACATGAGACTCATTTTTTCCTGCTTCATGAAATACCCCAAGGATTGGGTCCCAAAAGGACTTAGGTTACTATCAGCCTGTCTCAAAGTGTTGTATATGAATGATTGGTGGTATTTGTGATGATTTTAGGTACAATGTCATAGAACTGTTTTTTAATCTCCATAGTCCCATGTCTATTTTAATAGGAATTAGAGGAAAAAACACATATATGCAGTGAATCAAACCTGTAGTTTTATTTATCTTACTGCATGAGATAGAGCTAATATATGCATTTAAATTTTTTAAAAGGGAGCTAAATTATACAGGTACTACTTAGAGCAAGATTTAAATAATGCACAAATGACTGGACTTTGAAGAACGCTAGATTAAGGTGAACTGGTTTTATTGATTCCAGACTAGACAGGTGTCCACAGGGGCCCTGCTGGCTTCCTTAGGCTTCCCTTGCAAGGCTCAGGAGAAGGCCCTGCCACAACCATGTCTTTGCTGAAAGACAAACTCATTGCTCACCAAGGCTGACAGAGCCAGGCCAGGCAGAACAGTAGTTCTCATATGCTTCAAGATCTCTGGGGCATCAGATTCCTCCTGGGGTTAATAGAAGCCTAACCAACCTAATATCCAAGAAGTTCATTTGCACGGGAAGCAAGTCCAAAGCCTTCAGTTTTCTGTTGGCACAGACACCAGTCAACACAGGGTTTGAATGGACCCCCAGACTTCTGCTTTGTTATTGTTTGTGAAACAGAAGCCAGCACTGGGCATGTGATTGATCATTTGCTTTAGGACGAACAGAAAATACCCATCCCGGCTTCCTCTGAGGGTGTCTCTACACAATTCCTGAAGGCAGCTGAGTTTACTGCCCTTACTGCCCCAGCCTCAGGGACAGCAAAGGGACACGACCAGAATTCCAATTCTATCAGAAAATGGAGATTGGCCCTGGAAGACCTCTCTAGGGCCCATGAGGCATAACTGATCATCAAAGCAGCAGGCAGAATTGACAGTGCTGTAGGCCCCTGCTGCTTCCCAGCTTTCTGTGAAAGGCGTCAGAAGCTCAGCTCCCTCCTCCGCCATTATGCAGTGTCAGGGAGAGACCAAAGGGGAGAAGCAATTGACTGTGATGAGGGGGCAGCATGGTGGAGGGGCCACATTCTAGGGCTCACTTTGATTCTTTCTCTTTTTCAACCAACATTTTCTTTCTCTTTCCCCACTTCTGCTTCCTTTTTCTCTTTTCCCAGAATTCCCGCTACCAGACCTACCAACGCATGTGGAATTACATGTACTCCAAGCAACCGAGTGTGTTTGTGAAGAGCACGGAGGAGGGGATCGCCAGGGTGTTGAACTCCAACTACGCCTTCCTCCTGGAGTCCACCATGAACGAGTACTACCGGCAGCGCAACTGCAACCTCACTCAGATTGGGGGCCTGCTGGACACCAAGGGCTATGGGATTGGCATGCCAGTCGGTATGCAGGAGAGAAACAGCCTCGTGGATAGCTTCCTCCAGGCAGGGGCAGGGTAGCTGAAACCACTGAATGCACCTTTAAATTCAGTAACTCCTGTTGCTACCGTGTTTCCCTGAAAATAAGACACTGTCTTATATTTATTTTTTCTCAAGAAGACACAGTAGGTCTTATTTTCAGGGGATGTCTTATTTTTATCAAGTATAATACAACAATCTACATTTATTCAAATATAGTTAAGTCATCTTCTTCTGGAACCTGACAGGGGGAGCCAACCTTGTGGATGGGGCTGGCGCTACTGATGTGTGAACTCCTTTCCCCTAGCTGTTCGCACGTGCACAATAGGATGCCTGCGACCATGGTTACCACATGTGCACCTGTGCAAGTGGGAATGGCTCGGAGAAAGGAGCTGTGGCAGATAAAAGGTATTCCAGATGCCGGAAATGCAGAGCGTGGCTATGCAGCATATCTGCATCATTAGGTCTTATTATTGGGGTAGGGCTTATATTTAACAAATGCATAGAAATCCTGCTAGGGCTTATTTGGGGGGTAGGTCTTATTTTTGGGGAAACACAGTAAAACCAATTTAACAGTGGTTTTAAAAGAAAGCATTCTCAAGGTTTTTTTTAAAAAAAAAACAACAACCCCAAAAAAACCCATCTACTTCCACTAATTAGTGATTAGTACCCAAGACTTAATTATAAAAGATCTGGTTGTGTAGTTGATCAATTATTCTTTGATTAGTTGATTGGTTATCAAAGGGCATATTGATGCCCTTGGCAGACACTTTAGGCCCCTTTGTTCCTCCTCTTTCCTGGTTCCTGCCTCTTGGCCATTTCTCAGTTGACTGACATTCCTAAAGCAGTGGAAAGAAGGAAGAGATCTGAAAATTCAAATGAATTGATTTTGCTATTTGTTGGGGCCCCTGGTGAAAAGTTTACTGCAAAAAGGGACTGGCATGACTAGATGAGCTGGCTTTCAAATTATTTGTGAATCTCACTGATCCATCTATTCCACGTCCCCTCAGTGTGGTTAACTGAGAATGGGCAGGAAAGCTCTGATGTTCAGCTGGCTGGGTTCCATCTGGTTTTATTATAGAAAGGTAGAGATGTTTGGCTTCTAGAAAGGTATTCAGGTCATGGTTTTTAAAGGACATTCACACTCTGGGCCCTCCCTTGCTGGTAGTACCTGCACCAGAGGACGAGGGAAGAACAAGTGTAGCTGCTGTTGTGATTTTGGAGGGGATCTGGAGGAGATCATCCCCCAGGTGATTCTGACATGGACCCTTACCCCCATATACATCAGTGACAGCCACTGTCACATCGGGTTGTCCTTGTACAAGGGAGTTCTTTTTACAAGGCAACAGAGGAGGAAACAAGATTCAAGGCCATCAGATCACACGAGAAAACAGATAACATGCACATCTTTACAGTGATATCGTACATCTGTCTATTGATCTTTGCCTAACTCAAAGCTCTATAAATTGTAGGATTCGCTTACAGCTGTGGAATATAATGAGTATGGACTTGGCATCAGGCAGACGTGGGTATGCATCCTAGTTACTGAGTGTGGTACCTCAGACGGGTTATTTAAACTCTCTCAGCATGAGTTATCTCATTCATAAAATTGGGTTTCTATTACCGACCTCACAGATTTATTATGAGGATTAAACCCAACAATCTGGTCAGGTACCTTACCTCCGTGTGTCATGCTTAGCCTGTCTTGGGGAATAATTGTGTCTTTACCATCTTTTCCAAAGTTTCCTAGATCATTTGATAAAAGCAGATGAACACAGGCAATAATAATAAAAACAAATGCACACAGGCAATCATGGTTCAGCCCTGAACTCTGTAAATTCGAACATTGGCAGTTCTACAACCTGGAGGCCTCGGTCAAGGCACCAGGAAACATGTACCCCCTCTATCTGCTGTCGTATTTCATTGATGTCCCCTAATATTATAGATTATTTGAGAAATTTCTTGGCTGACATTTTTTTTTCAAAATGGTGGAGTGAATCACAAACGTAAGGTGCATCTTGATAATACTCTATCAAATTCAGCAATTACAATTTTTGTTTATTTGTTTTTGAGACAGGGTCTCACTCTGTTGGCCTGGGTAGAATGCCGGAGTGACATAGCTCACAGCAACCTCAAACTCTTGGCCTCAAGCCATTTTCTTGTACTCCTCAGCCTCCCAAGTAGCTGGGACTACAGGTGCCCGCCACAATGCCCGGCTAGTTTTTCTATTATTTTTAGTAGAGTCAGGGTCTCACTCTTGCTCAGGCTGCTCTTGAACTCCTGAGCTCAGGTGATTCATCCTCCTTGGCCTTGCAGAGTGCTTGGATTATAGGCATGAGCCACCACACCCAGCCAGCAATCACAAATTTAGCCTAATGCCTCAGAGTTTTCATGGGACAAAACTAGAGCCCTAGGGGTAAAACAGACTAACTCTAGAGATTTTTATCAATATCTAAGGAAAAATGGAGGGAAATATCTGTTCCATATCTGACATGATGTTATTTTGTTATTATGTTATGTGTTATCTCAATCTCCTCTGCCCTGCTGTGAGATAAATGTGCTTATTCCCATTCTATACAAGACAGAACTGAGATTCAGAGTAAACAGGTTACTTGTCCAAGATCACAGACTAGACATGGAATCTGGGCTTGAGCCTAGACTAGGATGCCTGTCCCATATCTAGTAAGTCATTTACCTAGACTAGGATGCATATCCCACATCTAGTAAGCCATTTGCCTAGACTAGGATGCCTGCCCCAAATCTAATAAGTCATTTGCCTAGACTAGGATGCCTGTCCCAAATCTAATAAGTCATTTGCCTAGACTAGAATGCCTGTCCCGTATCTAGTAAGTCATTTGTCTAGATTAGGATGCCTGTCCCATATCTAGTAATTCATTTACCAGACCATGTTGTCAAATGGATCCAACCAGCTAGACAGGACAGGATAGGTGGGAGGGTATACTGCAGGCTAGTCCCAGTTCTTACATGACATTGAGAAGAATATTATACAATCCATTTATGAGACAGGATTTAGGGCTAGCTGGGATCATGCCCAGGAAAGGTAAACACACATATCATGTAGATGTTAAGTGGACGGTAATGGTAACCTAACTGTGTCCCATTCTTAAGTAGAAGGGCAGGGCATAATTATAGATGAAGCAATGTGGTTGGACCCAGAAAATGAAGACAAACAGCATACAGAACAAGATAGAAAATTGATCGGGGGGTTAGGATCAGAGTAGGCAACCATGAGTACAGATTACTCCTTTCCATACAGCCCCTGGTGTGTTGTGGGGTTGGGTTGAAAGTGTCTTGAACCTGCTTCAGTTGTCTCTGAAGCTGGAATGGTCATTAGTCTTCCCACCCAATGACATCTGTATAGAACCCGTTCAATGCATCCCTCCCTGCAGGTGTGTTATTGAGAACCTCCTCTATGTGAGGCTCTGTTGATGTTCACCCAATGCTGCAGCCTAGAGCTTTGTGTGTCTAAGCATGGTTGTGTCAATAGCAAGGAAGGTTCTCCCATTGGAGTCCTGGACTGTCACAGTCAGAGGAAACCTGGGAGATGTTCTAGTTCTTTGGCTCTGGAGGGTAGTGCATGGCCCCACAGCCTGGGCATTACCTTGGGGCTTGCTAGAAATGCAGAATCTCAGACCTCACCCCAGACCTACTGAATCAGAGTCTGTAGGTCAACAAAATCCCCGAGTGGCTCCTATGCACATTCAGCTTTGAGAAGCACTCGTCTGTTTGTTCCAAGCTTCTGCCTGAATCCTTCAGCATAGCCTTTTTCCTCTGGGATATCTGTCCACATCAGGCCTTCGCAGAGCTTGGGCAGGGCAGCTGGGCAGCTGAGTTATTTGCTGGCCTTGTGGCAGCTTTTGCTCAATGATCTGAGGCCTCAGCCTATGCTGGGACATTGAACTTTCCATGATTTAATATTAGCCTGTTTTTGTGACTAAACCTAAATTTTACAACCCATGCTCCTAGACCATATTCCATTAGAAAAATTTAAAAAGAATTGCACTGAACAGAAAAAAAAAAAAGCTTTCTGTTTGAGGAAGCCAGGAGGAGTGGGGAAAACACGATGATGAGCAGACCAGTGGGTTCTGGTGCGTGCAGCAACAGTCTAGAGGGTTGGGGACGCGTGGGAACTGGGACCGTCGCAGGATGGACGAGAGGAGGTTTCTTTCGGTCCCACTCTGGGCTCTTCTTTCACGAGTGGGTGCCTGCTCTAGTGAACTAATTTTCAGGCATAATGTAGTGAGAGTTACAAGTGCATGTCCGAGACATTAATTTAACTAAGGTGAAGTTAGATAACTGGGAGGGTTGTGTCACAGAAAGACAAACTTTGGCCTCCTGAGGGTGATGGAAAGCTTTGCACCAGAGTCCTGTGTGCCAGTGGGCAGGTGGATTCACTTGCAAAGACCATCTTTTTAAATTTAGAAAGTGCTGGCACCCAGCTCAGGAGGAGAGTGGTGCAAGTCCCTGAAAAGACATTACTTGACCCGTCCTGGGGCTTCGGCCATTGGCTAGACATGACAGTGTGGACAGAGGAAAGGAGAAAGGACAGAAGCCCACGTGAAGTCAGAGCTCCCTCTTCCCCGCAGGGGAGACAGGCGTAGAGAGCGGGATCTGTGGGGTGCGCCCCGCTCACCGCATCTGCCTCTCTCTCCTGAGGCTGAAGCAGGAAGAGTGGCAGGAGGCGTGCCGGGAAGGGGAGCAGAGCGATATATACACAGACATTCTCACCCGTGTCCTGGGTTCTCCTGTGACCCTGCAGGCTCGGTTTTCCGGGACGAGTTTGACCTGGCCATTCTCCAGCTGCAGGAGAACAACCGCCTGGAGATCCTGAAGCGTAAATGGTGGGAAGGGGGGAAGTGCCCCAAGGAGGAAGATCACAGAGCTAAAGGTAAGGGTGCTCTGACTCCCCACCTAATGAAAGCACTCAAATAGCTTGCCTCTCATGCTCAAATTCTAGGACCCAGTAACGACTGCTAGGACACATTGAGAAGCCTTGGAAGGAACCCAGGGCTAGGACGGGCTGTCTGGGGTCAGTTCTGTCTTGAGGTTTTATGTAGCAGCCACCCAGCGTTCTCCAGCGTCCACCTGGCTCATAAGTCCTAGATGCTCTGTCTTCACTATGTTTCCCAAATCAGCCACCTCCAAACCCAGCACCACCACTTCCACCCTGGCCCATGCCCCTCACCATCATCTCACACCTATGTGATCACAATAGCGTTGTGTCCTTTTCCCATTTCTGCATAGCTCCACTAGTAGCCAGAGTGATCCTTTTTAAAAATGCAAATCCGAATGCATTTTAAAATTCCCCTGCATAGGGCAGTGCCTGTGGCTCAAAGAGTAGGGCAAGACCCCATATGCTGGAGGTGAAAGGTTCAAACCCAGCCCCAGCCAAAAAAAAAAAAAAATTCCCCTGCACAAACTTTCCAAAGGCTCCCTATCTCACTGGGAATACAATCCAAGGCCCTGTGGGATATCTGTTCCCCACAGTCCTCCCTTCTTTCCCTTCTGCTGCCCAAGCTACCCAACTGGCTCTTCTACCCCAGGGTCTGTGCACCTGTTCCTCCCCCTTAGGCTTCCCTAGGAGCCTCCTCGAGGAGAGGTCGTCACTCTCACACTCACACATCTCGCCATCACCACAACCCTTCCCTATTTCTCTTTGCAGACCTCATCACACATCATATTTTCTAGGTGTTTATTCATCTACTTTACTCCTTTTAGAATGTACGTTTCACGAGGGCAGGGTTTATCTTCTTCATAGGGCCGGCACATGGACATTTTGTTGAATGAATGAATGAATGAATGAATGTTAAATTAGGTTGAAAGCAGACTGAGATGTGTAGCTGAGAAATGTCAAGGGCCCCTGAGCACTCAGGGTTTTCTGTAGGGAAAACACATATCCTGGTTTGTCCAAGACAACCTTGATTACATCTGTAATAGGTTAGTTTGTGCCTGTTAGTTATTTCTAGATAAATTTCTTTCTCAAAGTGTCCTGGTTTGGATGATAAATCAATAAACCCTAGCAATCTATTGCTACCTTATTAAAATATGCAACCAATACATCTTTACACACTGTCGCCAGGAAGGCAGCTGAGAATTCAAATGAAGGTGCTTATGTGTTTGCCTTCTCTGCTCAGCATGAAGGATTATCCCTGATGAGAAAGAGAATGTAGACCTCTATCTTGCAAGGAAAGGTCTCGAGGATATGGATCTGTGGTAAACAGAATTCTTTTTTTCTGGGTGGATACCTGGTAATGGGATCGCAGGAGCAAATGGAAGGTCTACTTCTAGTTCTTTGAGGATTCTCTGCACTTCTTTCTGAAAACACTGTACTAGTTTGCAATCCCGTCACCAGGACTCCTCTCTCTGCACTCCCACCAGCACCTGCAGCTTTGGGACCTTGATTTGGGCTTTTCTCACCATAAGGTCCTTTGCACTTGAATGTTTCTAGCAGCTCAATTCACAACTGCAAAGATGTGGAAACAACCCAAGTGCCCTTCAACCCTTGAATGGATCAATAAACTGTGGTGCATACACACACACACACACATACACATACACATATATATATACACACACACACACATTTATCATGGAATACTATTCAGCCATGAAAAGATGGAGACTTTGTATCTCTTACCTGCCTGGATTTGGAGAACATTCTCCCAAGTAAAGTATCTCAAGAAGGGAAAAATAAACATCCCATGTACTCAGTTCTAATCTGAAACTGGGAGATTAATAACTACGGGACTACATGAGAAAAAAAGCACAGTTAAATTCAAGGGGAGAGAGGGGAGAGGAGAGAAGGCTTAGAAAGTCCCCACCTATTGAGTACAGTGTAGGGGTGTATGGAACACTTCCTGGGTGAAGGACACAGCTACATCTGGGACTTTGGACTTTACCTTACAGACACAAATAATGCGACTTAATAGTATCTACCCTCATACTAACCCCAAATAAAAATATATATATAGACCTGTGGGGAAAATCCTTTGTCATTTGAAGGAAATGCTGCCCTCAGAGGAACCCAGTGAGGCCTCTGAACTCTGCCCCTCTAAGGTCAGAGCTGACCCTGGGCAAGGCAGTGGACATCAGTGGACACAGAGCATGGGCAGATCTCATTCCAGTCCCATGTTCCCCAGTCACACGTCTATGAGCCTAGGCACATTGGTTAACTCTGCTGAGACCTCGTTTCTTTGTAAAATGAGTACAGTAACCAGTATACCACACGGCTGCTGTGAAGGGAGAGTGGAAGAGCGCAGAGCTTGGCTCATCCTAAGGGCCCCAGATAAAGCAGCGGCTATTGATCTGCACTCCAGCTCCGCATGGGCTGCTCTCAGAACTTCAGGGCCATCTGATTCCATTAGCCGTCTGCAGGGGAGTTATTTCCAGTGGTCAGCCAGCCAGCCATTGGGTCAATAGGGTCATGCTGAATGACAGTGAGGTGTCCCAGCATGTCATTTCATGCTCCTGGGAACAAGAAAGCCCTGCAGGCTTCACAGATCTTAAAGTGATTTCTGGAAATAAAACCAACACATTTGAAGTGATTAGCAAACAACCCCAGATACTAGCTAAGTTACAGTTAAATACTGTGGGGTGAAGTGCAGAGGAGACTATTTGTTCAGAGAAAAAAAAGAAATGGGAGCACAGCAGACAAAAGTTCAGGATACTTGTGGGTTGGATAGAATGAAGTAGATCTTAGAGATGCCCAGGACTGAGCAGGGACTGTCCCCAGGGACAGGGGGAAGAAGGCATTGCAGGCAAACAAACACTTGAGGAAGGAAGTGCCCTGGGCAGGGCTGTGTCCCCAAGCTCTGTGACCTTGAGCTAGACCCTCCGTCACCCATGTGAGATCTCACCCAAAGTCTGCTAAACTTTTACCCTCCTGCAGGTGTGGGGGAGCAGGAAAGTATTTGCAAAAACTTGGGCCACATAAAGCGTCATACTGGGATCCTAGGGACGGTTTGGGTAGCAAAATGCTTCTCCACCAATTCCTCCCCTCAAAAAGACACATGGATTGGAAACAATCCAAATCTGGCTGAACCTGGAATAGCTAAAATAAAACTGGTTTACTGGTAACTCACCATCCATTACTGTTGCTCTGTGGTAACAATGAACTTGAGAATGGCGGGAAGGAGCACACCTCACCTAGACGTGGCGGCATACAGGGATGGCTTTGGGCCTTGGAGCTGTGGAAAGTAGGAATGCAGAAGTGGGCCTGGGTCCCAGAGCAGGACCTTGGGTTCTTCCTCTGCTTGATAAGTGAAATAGAAGACATGTCCAGGTGTCCACCTTCCTAGAAACCCTTGGTGGATCAGGGGCCTTCTGAGACTTTGGATGGAGCATTTAACACACTGCATGGCAACTGTTAGTCTATTCTGCTTGGTTCCTGGCCCCTGAAACCCAGACCCAGTCTCATTTGCTTCTGTGGCCTTAGCCTCCACCACAGAGCCCAGCACCTGCTGCTACTCAAGGTGTGATGAAGGCTGCTGCTAGTGTGAAAAGCCACCAATTCCTGTGTTCTCTGGGCCATGCTAAAGTGACTCATGGAACTGTGCTTGGAATGCCTGCCCTCAGCAGCCCTGGAATACTCACACTCACATATTCCTGCCTCTGCACAGCTGGCTGGGAGTGGATAGTGGTGCAGAGTCGTGTTGAAAGGAAGGCTGGAGGCAATCAGGAATGGCCAAGGGCAGTGCAGAGACCTCTGAAGACCTGCTGTCCACCATCAGGTCCAGGCTTGAAGCTGTGGTCAGTTCCCAGTTCTCCTCTTCTCCTTTCCTCAGCAGCCTGGATTTCCTGGGCTTTCCTTTCCTTTTTAAACCTGATTCTGCTTGGTCTCTTAGGGGTTGTTTCCTCTTAAGACTTACCACTGAGTTGATCCCATCTCTCCAGTTCTCTGTTTCATCCTTGAACCCTAGACCTAGCCACAGGCCCTCCTCCCTTGTGAACTTCCCCGAGGTGTGTTATGTTCCTACTCATCCCTACAGAGGAAGGGGTGGAGGGGAGCAGAGCTGGCAAGCACAGGATTGGTGACATGGGGTCCAGGTGCTGTATAGGCTTCACGGGGAGACCTCAAGCTAGCCCCTCCCTCTCCCATGTGAGATCTCACCCAGAGTCCATTAAACTCATGCATATTTGTTTGTCCGCTGACCGTTCTAGGCTGGTTGTGTTTCCTGAGGCAGTTCTGAAAGGGTTCAAGATCATGCATTGCTTCAAATGGCCTCTGCTGGATTGATGCCCTTGTGATCAGAGCCACTCTGAAACATCTATGTGCCCCTGTTTCCTTTGTTGGAAAAGAAAGGTAATAGTAGCATGGGCACCTCCAAGGGCTGTTGTGAAGGTTGAATAAGATAAAAAGCTTATGAAGCTCTCAGCAAAGTGCCTGTTAACTAATTTTATTCTGAAATCTAGGCCTGAAGGAGCAATTAAGGCCCAACGAGGGGTCTGAATAGTGTCCCCAAGCTGCAAGTATGCCAATCCATCCTGTGCTCCTTAAGGCTGAATAGCTCTTCAAAAATCAACACTTATGACCTTGATTTTCTGGCTGATGACATTTTCCCCCTGTAGATAATAAGCACCTCAAAGTCAGGGAGTGTATCCTGTTTGCTTTTGTGTCTCAGCTCTCAGCACATCACCTGATGTCATTAATAGAGGAAAGAATGAACAAAAATGAATGAATAAGTGAATGAATGAATGGGCAAGGATCTTCAGGTCCCCCTAACTAGATATCACTTCCACTCTTATCCTATCTTTCTTTTATCCCAAAGAGAAGTCCCGACATCCCAGGCGTTAGCATGGGAAGTGTTCATGTAGTTCCCACTACAGCCAACCAGACAGTATTTTAAACCACTGTGTTTCAGGAACTGTGTGAGGCTTTGAAATTGGCAA